TGAATCCGTCATAGGAAAATGTACAACGTCATTCATATTTCATTTAAATCACTAGTAGATAATTTAGAAACGAAAAATAAGCAATATACGAGGACTGTTCAGAAAATAACCGAACAAAAATATTTTAAACCTTATTATTAATTGTATATATTATTGGTCTTTGCCTTCTTTAATTGGTTAATTGGCGATTTGCACGCATCAGATCTTTGACTTTCTTGGACGTGGCAGTCATTACTTGAAGCCGAAGGCCTTCCTGGTGAAGGATCATCTCATCATGATTGTCAACCACTTTTAAATGGTGAAAACCATTCGTAACATTGCGTACGATCCAGAGCATTATCTTCGCTAGCTTGTTCCAAAAGTAGAAACATTTCCGTGAAAGTATTCTCCAGATTCATCCAAAGTTTTGCATCGTTGTTCAAGAAACATTTCAAAAATCGTCACTAACGCTTAAACACGTTGCACACAAATAATAATATCATGCGCAACGCAATGCTGCCGCTGCCAACCGCTTATCACTAAATATCTCCATTAAAAAGTTCGGTAAACAATGTTTATATGAACGCATTTAGTTACCATTTATTTAAACACAAAAAGAAAAAATATGTGCGATAATTTGGCCACCTATCTATTAGCAAAGTTTACAGAATAAATATTTCTGTAAACTTTGCTATTAGCTTCTTTATTAACGCCAAAAGTTTGCGTATCACGTGTTGGTATATTTTCGTACTGATCAATCAGGAAACAATCGAAAATTTATTATTACAAACTGACAGCCTTGCGAAAATCGTAATTCAAAGGTCGAAACTTTGTGTATTAGGAAGTATTTTGACGCTTGGCTACTCACGTATTCAACGGAGAACAGATATGTACGTGAGTTTGATCTAACGCGATCGAATGCCCAAGAGGACATTGCCGGTTTGATTGAATTTTGAATTTAATTAATGTTATTGTTTGGACATGAGTAATTATATTAATTATTCGATGGCTCGAGTAACATAATGAAAATGTTTCGGCCTCGAACTTCTGCTATACCAATAATAATAATATTTAGTCAAATACAGGGTGTTCAGAAGCTTGGAGAAGATATGAGAACTGTAAATAAACTGGTTGTCAGAAATATAAAACAATCACAGTAATAATATGAAACATTTTTGAAACCGCTGTACATAAAGATGTGCAAGTAACTTATGGTCAGAGGTTTCATCAGTAACTAGTGATTCTACTGCAAGAAACGGGACAAAAATGGAATGCGTACTATCTACGGCTACAATTTTATTTACGCGAAGATTCCAGAAGTTTTCAATGAGTTTTTATAATTTTCATTATTGTTAATTTTAAGCACTGTTCTGTCAGTTTCACTGGTTTTGATTATCGAAAATGCCTATGAGTAATGCTTTCTACTTACCATTATGGTAGTTTTAAAGAGAAATTTCTTTGTTTGTTGTGTTCTTAGTTGTTATAATTTTATAATAATTGTTTAACATTAAAAATAAATTATTTAGCATTTAATTACGTATTTAAAAACACTTTTCTTTAGGTGTTTACGTATCGTTTCATTGATTTTCGCGCTCTATCTCAACTTGCAAGGCGGCGGTGATTATTTCCATGAAAACAATTTATATTCTGAATTAAATCTATTGTTGTATTAGTTGAGGAATAGTAATAACCTGCATTTCATCGTAGTACAAACGTAAACTCTTCTCTAGACAAATAATTCAGTGCATCGCAGTAACTTGCTTCCTTGGGTTTATTAAAACTATTAAAAAAGTTATACCTAAAGTGTCTACTTAAAAAAACAATCGCAAACCGTCACAGTCCAGTTACCAACGTATTTAAATGTTTCGTTTTGTGATTGCTGTGTCCAATTTTGATTAACGAAATTGAACAAGTTTCGCATTCGTCTGCGATTATTAAGACTGTTATGGCTTTGAACGAATTTTGTTTCAGTTGGTTAAAATCAGTTCGATCGCTAACAAATGAATGTTAGTTCCATCGAAATGACACTTTGATTGTTTTTCAATGGCATCGCTTTCTAATAGTGTCCATAACATTGCAGCATAGCTTTTGCATTCCTTACTTAATTTAGCAAGTATAAATAGAAATTAGAATATTCGTTTGTGATTTTAATAGTCTTACTTTATTGAAGGAGGCTTGGTTCTTATCAACAATCAGCTGTGTGGTGAATGAACGATCTGTCAAAATCAGAAAAAGATTGTTTTGAGGCGAATTAAATGTCTCTCCTTTAAGTTTTATCTTTTTATAACGTTTACGTAAGATTAAGCAATGTCTGCATTGTGAAACTGTCAAATTTCAAAATCCAAGAAAATCTGAGTGCAGAAAATTTAGTAAGGTACTAAGATAGTGTTTTGCTTAAATTTTAACTCGAATTTTAGTAATTATGAATATCTTAAAACAGGAACTTAACTTTTAATCAAATTATGTATTTGAAAAATATGTAATTAAAGTACCCAAAAATTCACGTCGTCCAAATAATCAAATGTATTAAAAATAAAGCAAAATTCAGTAATTTTTAAACTCACAAGTACAAAACAAGCTCAAATGCTCAAAATGTCCACCACCATTTTCGATGCACCAAGAAAAGGAAATAGTGGTACGCAAAAAACACTCCGACATATTCGAATCCAGATACCAGATAGATATTTGAAACAAATCGTTCCTATTTTTTCGTAAATGTAATAGTTTTTAAGAAAAAAATAAAATAAAATAGGCCAAGTGCACTCACCCCGTGGGAAAGCTTTTATAATGACAAAAGTACATTAAAATTAATGAAAATAAATTGAAAGAAGCTTTAATTATAAACAGAAAACCATAAAATATTATGATGGAAATGGCCACCTCCCATCATTACAGGAGAATGGAGAATTTTGACGCACATAAAGCAATAGAGGATTCTCAACCTTTTTCGTTACAAAAATTTATAAGATTTAAATCTGGTATTCGAGGAGGCCAAAACTGAGGTCCGCCAAGGCATATTCAATGATTTGATTATACTTTGTCTAAATATTGTGGTGCTCTTTCTTACACTAAAATAGGAAGGAGTTTTATCAAGCATAAACCAAAACTGAGCTCGAGCACCTAGAGGCACATCTTCAAGAAGTACCTAAACTACTTCTTCATGAAAATGAATGTATGTAAGTGCATCCAATTTGGGTAGCCAGTATCTCCAAGAATTCCAATCCACAAATTCAGAGAACTGTTGCTGATGAAGAAGCATGTAGATTTTGTTCTGGCCCTATGTCTTATGATAATTATCGATTACCTTGAAAAATTAGATTCAACTGTGAACAAGTCCTGCCCTACAATTGCAGGATTGTCTCCAATACTTTCCAGGATCCAATGAAAAATTACAAGACTTTGCGGGAAAAGAGTCTGGACTCTTTGTTCGTGGAAATAATATAAAAGTTTTTTTTTAAGATGGTCCATACCATCATGTAGTTTTTCTAGTGCTGGTGCATCGTCAATCAAATGCATATTGACCTTATTTGGGGTTGGTGTAATTTGGCGTATTGAATAAATGAATCAAATCTACAAAAAAGTAACGTAAGGTTAAGGATTATTAACGACTAGCATCTGCTATTCAAACATTTCCATTTTAGCTGTATGCAGATGATTTTTTTTGCTCCAAATCGGGCGTTAGACGGAATAATGTAAATTCTAAAATGTTAGTGTGATCTCAATCCTAATGAAATGAACAAAATGACTGTGCGCAGCTAGAAAAGTTGCGTTTGACTTGTTAAAACTGTTGAACATTCATATTACGAATACAACAGAGATATAATATTAACGTAGGTGCTGACAGCGGTAGTGTATCAAGTGAATGAGTTTTATATTTATTATACCTATTAATCTTAATTATTTTATAATAGCTGTTTTACACCGACAATTTATTGATGAATTAATTCATGAAGTCGCTTCATCAAGAAAGTGTAATGCACCAAATCTGCTGTCAAATAACTTCATGAATTTATTCATCAAGTTCTTGACGAATTAGAACATGCTCTAATTTTCGTCAATTTCTTCGTGAAGTTCAGAAGTATCAACCCAACAGATTTCCAGCCTCAGATCAGTAATGAGGTTATGTTATTGGAATATGTAAATAATTGTGTGGCGTCGTACTAGTTTTGCATTGTTTTTACTGATTTCTTACTTACAAAAACTAATGTTTATATGATATGTGTCAAAACGGTACCGCTGTTGTGTCACTACAATTATGAGTGGAAATGTGACATTTTTGAAGTTTATTTGCTTCTTTAATTCATTGGTAGAACTGATTCATGCGTCAAAAAACTTGACAAAGTCTGTAGCAGTGTAAAACCACACTGTTTACCAATAAATTCGTGAATTAATTCATGAAGAACTTCGTCAACTTATTCATGAATAAATTGTCAATGTAAAACAGCTATTAGAAAGTGTATTGTGTATTGTGTATTGCTGTGATTATCTTTAACATAAACTTAATTTTTTTGTCATAGACACGATACATCTGAGTATAACAAATTCTTGAAATATTATTCAATGTGAACCTGTTTAGACCCCCTGCAATTTTATGAGCTGGTAGCAACTCAACAAGGGTAAGTTATTCTCTCAAATCTAAGAATACGCTTTATAATGTCCAGTCTAAAAGTCTAACTTGTTTGTTGAATTCTGTTGAAAGAAATTAGAAAATAATTGAAATATCTTCACGGAATCATGACCTTATTCTTGCAGCAAAACAAATACACATAAATCCAAAAATATTATGATAATAACACAACTCATGGTTTTTGTTCGTCTTAAATCTAGACCTAGGGGAATTGACGGGTTCGGGATCGAAATTCTTCGGCCAGAAGGCAGAGCCTCCCGAGAAAATGACTTTTTGTATCTTTTAGCATCGTTATTGCAGTGATATCTTATATTCCTGTGGTCGATGACACAAAAGTGTCGTCCGTCCTTCTCGCATATATAAAAGAAGACACCGTAGCATCGTCATTATTAACTATAACGCTAACGCGCGGTTAACAACCCGATTTTTAGGTGATTGTTTTTGATGCCTGTCGGTGTGACTGTGTAAACGGTATGTACCTTTGAAATTAGTCATAAATCAGAAATCAGGCTTACTATTTATGTAAATGTTTGACGATTGTCGGATTTAATAATAAAAAACACAGTCGTACTGCATTTAAGACGTTTCGCTTATTTTACTTGACCTTCTTCAGGATACATTTTAAAATTTAATTTCTGCAATACGTCTGGAAAATGTGTAAGATTATAAACCAATTATCAATTAATCTATAAGTTGAACAATACTAAGAAATAAAAAATATCATTAAAAGTATTGAGAAAACAGTTTGTTAATCACAACTAATAATAGCTTGCATATATACCCAATAAAACAATCAAATACACATTTTGCTTTTTAATAAAGAAATAGAATTTTATGTTAATTAATTAAAAACAAATTGTTTAATAGTTATATTAAGTTGTATATAAATTATTCTTATTTCTTCATAACATTTAATAATAATATGTTTTATTATATTGACTATATTTTAATTCATAGATTAATTGCAATACTGTTTATAATTGTAATGAAATAAATAAGTAAATAGTTCGTACAATTGTACTATTTGTCCTGAGGAAGATTGTGTTATATAAACAAAACGTTGATTTAGTAGCAGTGTGGTCCTTTTTCATCCTAACGCAGACGAATATCGTTTTGAATCATTATTTCATGGATATAATCCTCCAAATTTGAATGAGAATAATTTTGTAAAAAAAATCATCTGCGTGAATGAGATGTAATTTAATGAAAACAGTTTTTTTGGTGATGTAAACTGTAAGCAACATCATATGAACCATATTTAGTAACTCTATATTTATACAGGAGGTTTTGAAAAGAGTTGCCATAAATGCCAGACGCCAAAATTGATTTATTCCAAAATCAAGTTGTTTCATATACATTATTAAAAACACAATGCATTTATTATACTGAAATTTTAAAGGTACTAAACTTTTTTTGATCGTATCAAAATAAAGTCAAACAATGTTTTTCGATACTAGAAATTTAGGTAAGTTCAAAGATATCTAACCGCTAATATTGCGAGAAACAACTTCTCTATGGGCTGTAAGACTCAACCAGCATTGAATTACGCCATCAATATCTAGTGAATAGCTAGTAATACATAATTATTTAAAATAGCAGTTAAAATCACATATCTAAGTATAATTAATACAAAATCACATACCTGGTATATAAAATTGGTAAATAATAAAATAATTTAAAGAAATACCTCGTGTTTTTGTTGTTCTATCATCTCCCACTCAAAATTATTTTTAATAAGACGAATTTCCAGAAAAGTTATAGCTTAAATAACTGTACTTGAAAAAAAAAAAAGGTTTATAGATAGATATTAGAAATCGTTTGATTTGACACAGTCAGTAACGTTTTTTTTAAATGGTGCATTTTCTGCAAGTTTAACAAGAATTTTTTGAAATTGTTCGTTATAATAGACAATGTAGAAAACTTATCCTCTACAAAACAGACAAAAACTAACAACAAAGACGTAATTAACATTCTTACATTTTTTTCAAAACACCCTGCTTAAAAAAACTGTGGGACGAGGTTTTGTAGGGAATTTTCATTTAAATAAAAACATGTTTCGCAATTTTATTAAAAATTTTTTTTGTTAAGCTCCTAACGATAACATACAATTGTTATAATTTCCTAATATTATTTCTTCATGTTTTGCAATTTACCCAAATGAACAATCGGCTTAATCAAGGGATTACCAAAGCCAAAAAGTTTCAAAAACGGAATCGCAAATTATCCAATACCTTGAGGTACTTTAAAACTATTGTTGTGGCTGAATTCCCATTACTATCACTGATAACGATATAAACCTTTGTTTTCACACCTTACGATAAACAGAAAGTGAATCACAATCGTATTTTCCACATTTTTCAGTGCAATGCTATTTAGAGCGGGTTTGTTTATATAAAACAAATATTTAGGAGGCGTCTGATAATTATCTCGTAATATAAGATTACAACGCAGATAAAACCTTATATAAAAACTAAGAAACATTACCTTAATATACCTAGAAAAGTATTCGCTATCGATTATTGAACTTGTCACTAAGCATTTTTGCTCTCTTTGTTACAGAACATGTGGTTTTATCCAAGTCTAGTGTTATTAATATGTTCAACAACTGTGATAGGTAAGTCGGCGATAATTTTATTCACATGATGTGCAAGCAATTATACATTTAAATTTTGCAATGATGATTTTTTCAGAGGCTACACCTGCTAGAGTCGTATGTTACTTCAGCAACTGGGCGATATATAGGCCGGGTGTAGGAAGATATGGCATTGAAGACGTTCCGGTAGATCTATGCACGCATATCGTTTACTCCTTCATTGGAGTGGACGACAAGAGTTGGGGAGTTTTGGTCATAGACCCAGAGGTAGGAATTTTTATTCTACAACAGGAAGTTTTTTCTTGTTTTTATCACAAACTGCATCGTATTAACTCGAAATTGGCCTAAAATTTCAAGTATTTCGTTCCAGTTAAATAAAAAGTTCTCTTATGCTTAGGAAATTGAAATGTCAACAATTATTTGTTCTTGTTTTAGCTGGATGTGGACCAAAATGGATTCAACAACTTCACACAGCTGAAAACTACACATCCAAATGTAAAACTACAGATCGCAGTGGGAGGGTGGGCTGAGGGTGGCGAAAAATACTCCGCCATGGTAGCACAGAAGCCTAAGAGAGATTCCTTCATTGCTAGCGTAGTCAGTAAGTATCCTAAAGATATTTAGTAAAAAGTTGAACGATTTTCTTTTAAAAAATTTGTGAATTAGTGTAACAGACCTTTAATTGTTCTTATTCTTTGAGATTTTATGAACCAATACGGCTTCGACGGCTTCGATTTGGATTGGGAGTACCCGGGAGCAGCAGACCGTGGGGGCAGCTTCTCGGACAAAGACAAGTTCTTCTACTTCGTAGAGGAACTGAGAAGAGCTTTCGACAAGGAGGGAAAGGGATGGGAGATCACTATGGCGGTACCAATCGCCAAATTCCGTCTCCAGGAGGGGTACCATGTTCCCGAACTTTGCGAGTAAGTAGATATTGATCTTTCAAATTATGTATGCTGTTATCATTCATTGAGACAAACAAACGCGCTCCTTTGTCCATCTACCAAAACGTTAAAGCGACCATCGCAATGTCGGAACGCTCAAAGAATAAAAATATAATGGCAGTTGTCACAAATGGTGATTCAATGTGGCAATCTTCAAAACAACACCTTATTAATACCGGCGAATTAGATATTATATGTAATAAAAACGAAACGAGGCTCATTTATTATTCATAAAGCCGTTGTAAACCGACAATTGATATTCAAATCACGCGGGGATGTTTGTATTCATAAGGCGAGTCATCGCAATGACATTAGCCTTTGCAAATGTTTTCAAACCAAATTCATCTCGTGTGGTCAGTGACCTTAGAAAGTAAAAGAACACAATGAAGTTCAATGCGGAAGACGATAAGGGATAACTGTCACTGATATAGGAACTTGAACCATCAACAGGAGTTCGATAGTAAAGGCCAAACATCGAATTAAGGTGTAACTTTTTCTCTTCAGGCTGTTAGACGCCATCCACGTGATGTCCTACGACTTGAGAGGCAATTGGGCTGGTTTCGCTGATTCTCACAGCCCATTATACAAAAGACCTCACGACCAATGGGCCTATGAGAAACTAAATGTCGTAAGTATGGTTACTAAACCACAATCGAATCCTTTTTCTTGATTTTAAACCGTTTCTTGTTTATTCAGAACGACGGATTGCAACTGTGGGTCGACTTTGGTTGCTCGCCCAAGAAATTGGTCGTGGGTATTCCTTTCTACGGCAGGACTTTCACCTTGAGTCAAGGCAACAAAAACTACAATCCTGGCACGTACATCAACAAGGAGGCAGGTGGAGGCGATCCAGGACCTTACACAAACGCTACTGGATTTTTGGCTTACTACGAAGTAAGGATATATAAGAGTAAAGTTTGAATCAATTCAACATTTGCAATTTTAGATATGTACGGAGGTCATGGACAAAGAATCGGGTTGGACCAAGAAATGGGACGAGCAGGGGATGGTACCATATGCCTACAAAGGTAAATAACAAAGGATAACAAAATAACTTGAGGTAATTTATTGATGTGTCGCACAGGAACACAATGGGTTGGATACGAAGATCCAGAATCAGTTCAAATCAAGATGGACTGGATAAAATCCAAAGGATACGCAGGAGCTATGACTTGGGCCATCGACATGGACGACTTCCATGGGCTCTGTGGCCCTAAAAACGCTTTGATTCATATCCTTCACGCAAACATGAAGTCCTACAGTGTGCCAGAACCAACAGTGACTACCACACCAAGAGTAAGGGTCTTATCACATTAAAAATTGTAAATTAACCATATTATTTTTTAGCCTGAGTGGGCAAGACCACCAAGTACTCCACCTTCCGACGGTTCCAAACCTGTTTCGACTACCCCAAAACCTGGACAGTGGGTGCCCGATGCCTCGACCACCACAACAAGGAGACCGTCAACGTCAGCACCTGTAAGCACGACGTCTGCGCCAGCAGCTCCGGAGGCTCCTTCCGTACCCGTTGAGGAAACCTCTTCTACCACTTCCTCTAACGAGATCGATTACCCAGCGGAGTGCAAAGGGGATTTCATGGCACACGAAGACTGCGATAAGGTGAGTAGACAACGAAACACAGAATTAATTTACGCCAAGAAAATTTCTTCCGAGTTCGTTTCTACTGCATTTTCCTTCTTCCAAACTTTAAATAACGAATATTCCTTGTAGTAGATTTTTTTATATTTTGCTGGAAGTAGAATATTTCGCTTACAGTGGCTCACTCACTAATATAATGTACTATTTTTTTCAGTATTATCGTTGTGTTCATGGTAAACCCATGGTGTTCAGCTGTAAACCCGGGACAGTTTACCACACTGTGAGTTTCATCTGTGACTGGCCTGCCAACGCAGATAGGGAGAAGTGCAAGGCGGAATGACTAATTGAAACCCTTTGAACTGATAGCTTTTAAGGTTTTTTATGTTAGATACGTATTTATTTTTCAATAAAATTTGTAAGTTTTATAATAATTTTATTTTTTATTTTATACAGGATAAATGTCTAAGAACCTGACGCACAGAAAAGTCTAAAACTGTTTATTTCATTTAAAAATTTAAATAAAATTTGACAATTGTCAAAAATTCAGTTAATGCCTATAAAAGGGGAAATTTATTGAAGATGTTCAGCTAGAAGTGAGCAGTAGCACACGAACATTATTTCAAAATCAGAGCATAAGGTTGGATTTGATTTTAACAAGGAATTTGCACATACTTCTATAGATAGAAGTATGTGGGAATTTGAGTGAAAATCATACATACAGGGTGGCCAAATGAAAACGAAACAGAGCCATTTTCAGGAACTGCGTCAAGATTGTACAAAAACGCTCAGACCCGTCGATTTTAGATTAAAGGGGGACATTCTTTGCTGGTATTTTTGACTCCGCCATTTTCACCCCCACGCAAGGGTAAGCATCACCCCAAAATATTTAAATGGCATTGGGGGTTGAGTAATATTTCTTTCTACTCTTACTATTCTCTTTACAACAGACTTTAAATTTTATAATTCCGCCCAATACTTATTAAGAATTTTGACTTTAAAGTTGAAACTTATGTACAAACAATTAGTAACGATAAAAATGTCAGTCATTCGAGTTAAGTACGCCAATGGTATACATTTAGTATTTCTTTGGTTTTTGGCGATTTGTTATCAGTTTCGTAAATAAAAACACAATTGTAAAAACAGAAATGAATGCTATACACACACAATGAACGTAAAATTAGTGGATTCCAAATTATTTTGTAGTATTATTTGGAAGCGTTGGTTGGTAGTTTATTTAATTGTGTTTTTGAAAATTAAACACTATGGTTTATTCCATTGCGGAAAGGGTAGATATCATTTCGCTTTACTTTTTACTGTTTCGTTTTCATTTGGCCACCCTGTATATCATTCAATTGACATCATCAGAATTCTCCAAAATTTCCAATATTGGCACATAACAACCGATTGAAAAAATTGAACTGGCATATCGGTATAATAATTTCAGTAAAATTTCGTTGGTATTTTAGAGTTAAACTCAAAATATCACAGGAAAACAAAATTGAGAAGTGGCAAACTCATAAAACAACAAAATATGTGACGAAAGGAAAACATTCTTGTAAATACTTGTATGAATGTACTTACAAGGAAAGCAATTATATAAGAAAAATAGTTGCAGAAGTGTTTATTTTTAAGAAATGAAAGACGCGAAAAAATGGTACTCATAAAACCTTGATCATGCTCAAAAAGCATTAACTATAATCAGATAAAATGTTGTGGGTGAGTTTCCTATAAAAATTTTTCTTATACGATCTAGATCTTTGATAGATCTGAAACCAAAACGAAAAAAAGTGAGGTTATGTAAATTTCTGCAATTGTAAATATGGAATAAAGAAACGTGAAGGGGACAAAGAAAATATCGCGGTAGTAAAGACCTACCTAAACACTCTAAAAACAACCCAGAGGACGAGCAGATGACAGACAGGAAATCAGCCTGGAGTAAAATAAGATCTATTAAAAATTTACCAACAGAAGCTAGGCAACACACAACAGTTCAAACAAGTAAGTTGTAGTTCAGGAGATCGAACGTTTATGATCGAGGAAAAAGATACAATGTTGTCCAAACAAGTCCGGAATAGGAAACAGGTACAGGGTGGCACAAACAATCCCCGAAAAGGAAACGAGTACAGGGTGGCTCAAAGAAAACCACAATAGGATTAACTACAAAGTGACCGTAAAAACCAGAAACAAGGCACATGCGATAATCAAAGTGAGTTGGATTTAGGAATAAATTCTAGTAACAGTGGACTAAGAATAACTAGATCAGGGAAAACAGGTGTTGAAATGAAAAATTGTAGCTCACTTTGTAATTGGTTTTTATTATTAATAAAATAATTGTAAATTTGCGAAGATTGTGATACTTTTGAGAGGTTTAGATTAAAAAATAAAAATAATAACAATGAATTCTGTTAGTGAAAACTTAGAGAAACAAAAAAACGTTAAATTCAAGTAAAAATCAACTTCAACAAAGGAAATAATTTATCTGCAGGAAAATAAATATAATAATTCTGTAAAATAATAAAATAAAAACATATGTAGCTTATTTTTCTATAGCTTACAATTTCAATTGGTTAATCAAATTCTATTCTATATCTATTTTGATTAGATAGGTAAACATTTATATTTTGTTTTTCCTAGTAAAATCAAAAGGGTATTCTTTTTCCTTTTTTTTTGTTTGAGTAAGAAGGAAATGGATAACTCGAGTAAATTTCTGCATTAATAACACAATTATAAGGAATAAAATTGACAAAACCATTGCCTTAAATTCTTCTTTCAGTCCTTATTGCCAAGAACTAATATCTTTTTTATGTTCGACCCCAAAAACCACGACCCAAGAGATAAAAATACAAAGTACTTCTAGGAAATATTTTATTTTGTTTTCTGTTTGGATCCCCATTTACCCATTATCATATAAATAATCTTTAACAGGGGCCTCTCGATAACCAAGTGCAGGATCAGTCCCAGAACAATTGCTTGAACAATATTGAATAATGAAATTTTGATCTGAAACAAAATTTTGATGCTTTAGTACACAAAATTTTTTTAATATAGGCACCTATAGTAAAACTATATCCTATATGCTTATATCCTATTGAAACTGTTAAAACAAATATGCTTACTAAAAAGAAATAGGACATTTCCAGCATAGAGGTCCACGTGGTTGTTTTGTAATACACAATTAGAAGATGAAATATATAAATCGAGAAGATCCATCTTGACATAAATTCTAGAGGGCTGGCTTCACACAGACTCTTCACAAATCCTAAAAAAACATACGTTTTGCTACTCCGTATATGTATCTGAAATTCGCCACTGGTTGGCGCAAACAGGGAATTTGCATATTAGTGCACTATCAACGTTGCCAGTTATTTTTAACTCAACCTACATCGTGGGAAGTGACAATGATAGCAGCGTGTCATTTTAAAGTCACCAGGAGCAACCAAATAATAAAATGTTTGTCAGATTGGTTCAACACTGTAGCACACCCACCCTGTGTAGTCATGTACTTGTATATTTGTGGATGTGTACAAATATGTGTTGGCAACTAACAATGCACGTGGTAAGGGGTGGGAGATAGTGTGGGTCAACGGTGAACAAGCGAAGGGAGTCAGTGGTTGCCTGGTTTTTAGGCAGTACATCTAATTTGTTATTAAGTTTCAACGAATTCCACACTCTGAGGTCCTCCTAGTTAAAGGTGGTAGGTTACAATATTTGAGAAAACAGACATTTTAAACGCCGTGGAAGAGGATCCTGGTAATAGTATTTGAAGATCAGCCACAAAGTTTCAAGTGTTATTTTATAAAAATCAGATTAGTAAACAGATTATTTATATTCGTGTATTTCATTTATCATTATTGATTATTGTTTGAGTTTTTTGCTGAGTTACTTGTTAAGATTCATAGTTTATCGTATTTAAAGGAATTAAACGTTCGTTCTTCTGGAATAACAGAGCTCGTGGCGAACGCCCACTCAACAAAAGTAACGCAGCAAGGAGTATATGAGATTTAACAACAATGCACAACCCAGTTCACAATTGTGTATGCTTTGCGACTAAAACACCCCGTTCTTTGAGGTTACACTAGATTGTCCTATGGGAACAGGCAAAAACAAATAAATTTAAACTATCAAAAATAAGAAAATACAATAAATTTATTAAGAGTTCAAAAGGCGAAATTGATTTTCGAAACATGAGCAACTTTTTGTCTGTTTTTTTTTTTAGTGTGAGATTTTCGGTTAGGCAAAACTATTTTTATAAAAATAACTTGGTTGATTCTATTGGCGCAATATCATTAATTTTTTAAATTTCGTTCGCACACCCAATAAAAAAACTACCATTATAAAGTTAAATATACTTTGTATACCTTAGATTTTTAGCAATAAGGAATATATTTTTTCAGCTCTCAAAAAATAAATTATACCAAATCAGCTAACAAAAAGTATCCCATAACATTATGTCAAAAAAAACTTACCGCCTATATTATGGGACATTCCTAATATGCCAATTCCTATCCCCACAGAAAACAAAGGCTTTAGCAAGGACCCAATGATCGCCGAAAGCAGAAGTGGGTACTCGTAAAGGGACAAAGCTAAGACTAAAGCTGAAAGGCCATAAAATCCCACGGCCCATATGACTGTTTTGACCTGTAACACTGCGCTGTTAGCAATAAACATTTAGTTATTTTTATAGGGTATTTCATTTTTTACGGTAGATACCACTACTAGCGTTACCAGTTTTGTATTATACATATTTTACTGGACATTGCATATAGGGTAAATTTTTAATGTGTACATATGAGAACATGTAACTAATAGTTGTTTCTTTGCAAAATACGCATTATTTTTTAAATGAAAACTTGTTGAGAACCGCTGACTTCATTGTGTGTATCACGTGACACCTTTCCCTTATTGTATTGCAATCCATTTTTTAATATTACAATTTCTGAGTGTGCTATAGTCAGAGGTTATATCTTTACTATGAGCTCTAAATTAATTATTTTAATTTAATGAGTTGTGTGCATGTTGATGAGAAGACTATGACAACTTTAGCTTGACAGGTTGACTAAACTTAGTTTGCAGTAACTAAACTGTTTAAACATATCAATTTAGCATAATTAATTAAGTTTTTATTTGTTTTCACGTTGCATTAGAGTTACATTTATTCTTCAGTAAAAAGCTAAAAGAATGTTCAGGATTGTTAGTTTCTCTGGATTATAAGTCTTGGAAAGAAAACCAGTTTGTATAGGGTGATTCACAAATGGCGACCAAAAATGAAAACTCGTATTCTTTGGTGAATTTTAAGGGGAATCTTTCCTATAAAGTTTTTGTCTGGACGCTTCGTTAAAAAGATACAGGGTGTTAACCTTCAAAATATATTTTTAATTTTTTTAAATAATTTAAAAACTAGTAAGTGAAATAATTTGAAGTTGGGCATATGCACTTATGTAAACATTGTTCAAAATCTGAAGGCTTCTCCTAAAATTTACATGCTCCAGTGGCGGAGATACAGGGTATCGGTGGCATATTTTTTTTAAATAAAATTGTACGCCACTGCGATTTTTTAAGTTTTACTCGAAGAATCAGGCTTTTTTCGAAAAACATAAGAGAGGAATAATTTGTAGAAAATTGAAAAACGAATCCGAAAATATAAGGGTTGTTACCGTAAACCTGTGGTGTACTATTTTATTTAGAAAAATATTCCACCGATACCCTGTATCTCCGCTACTGGAGCATGTAAATTTTAGGAAAAGCCCTTGGATTTTGGACAATGTTTACATAAATACATGTGCCCAATTTCAAATTATTTCACTTACTATTTTTAAATTATTTAAAAAAATTAAAAATATTTTTTGAAGTTTAACACCCTGTATCTTTTTAACGAAGTGTCCTAGATAAAATCTTTATAGCAAAGATCCCCCTTAAAATGTCTATTTCTACATGGTCAGAAAGTTTTTCCGTTTTGTATAATATAAAAAAGGGACTTTTTACTGTTTTTATGTTTTCTTCGATCATTATTTCTTTGATAATTAATTTCAGTTTCATCAAACTTAAAATTATGTAAACATTTTTTAATTTTCCTACATAATTTTCTTACCGCATGATTTGGCAACCTCGCAGTTCGTTGGAGCGCACCCTCCATATGAACAGCGGTTTTCAAAATTATATGGATCGACGGATTAAAAAAAAATCTGTATATATTTGTAATTTTGGAATATGAATTGTACCTACTATCTTCTATTAAACATATGTACACATTTATTATTCATCATGCAGGTTTCTTTATTTTTCGTTTATCAGAAATTATTACAAATTTATTTACCTTGGTCACTTCTATCCTCGTATTCTTATATCTGCGATATACAGCTCCAAAGAGTATACCTACGAGATAACTACTAAAATTTAGAAAAAATGAAGTGTGGAAATAGTAAACATAGTCGTTCTTGAAAACCTTCTCCATTTCAAGAAATCTAAAACACAAATCATCAAATCCAAACTTTTTTAAATGTAAATAAATTAATAAAATATATTTTATTTTTATTTTAAAACATTACTAACTCAGCTCTTATTGGAAAAGTAACTACCGTTTCTAGGTTATGTACCGTGTAGACATTATACATAATGTATGCATTAACCCCTACAACACACAGCAACACTGCTCCAAAAAGTTTTAATCCAAAGTTCAATTTGTACATCAAGTAAAAGAGTGCCATGCACGCTGCGTACGCTTGAAAATCGCAAGCCATGTGCCAAGACGATAAGTTACACTGGAAAAAAATATCTGTAATTAGATAATTACTTGTCAAAATGACAAATTTGTAAACGCAGAAACTATAAAAACGTGATGTAAAAAAATTCATTTGTCTTCCACACTTACCATATCCTTAACGTAAAAAAAATTATTAATTAACAACAAATTTGCCCACCAATGCGTCTGACAAGCTTCTTTATCGCACTGTAACATATCTGCCTGCGGTCCATCAAAAAACGTATATGTCATATAAGTTAGTCCAATATAAAATATAAGAGGAAGTACAAATCTAGAAATTGAATAATGTCAAATTATTCGTAACAAAATTGTCGAATTGATTATGAATTTCTAATATATCACTCTACAGGGTGATTCAATAACAATGGGAAAGTCGAAAGCTGAAGATACTACACGTGAAATGGTTACCATTGGCACAAACATGCCTTATCCGAAAGTAGATAGCTTCGGAAATACAGGGTGTTGAAAGTTAAAATTTTAAATCGTTTTTTTTGCGATTATTCTGAAAATATGTAGGTTAGGAACTTGAAAACTTGTGAAACTATATTTTTTTAGGCGAAGAATAAGATGCGTATTGTAATTTCAGCATTGCTCATAGAGGGCGCCACTTACTACCAATTTTACCGAAAATTTAGTTAATAACTTTTTATCCTTTATGTCTAACATGAAACTTGATTCAAAACCTGAAAGAGCTATAATTTTTCCATTAATGCTCTTACCGTTTCCTTTGAAGATAGTTAAAAATTCTTGGGTTCTCGAACAACTTTATCAAATACAGTTTTTAACGAAACCAAAAACTTTGCTTAGGGAAAATTTCACATTTTGAAATTTTTTGGACATCCTGTATGTTTTATTACATATTTGATTACTGCTCATGGCTTCTCAAGATAAAAAAATTATCCGGAATAACTTTTTCTCGAAAAATCAACAATAAAAAAGTTTACAACAGTGCGGTACCCCATTCGAGGACACACTGAACACTTCTCCGGAATGTAGTTGGGTGTTATTTACCTTAAATACCTGGAGGTCAAAGCTTCTGCTATCACTTTCAAAGACAACTTTTTGTTGTCAGACCTCTCTACCGCGTTGTACACCTGGATGGTGTGAAACCAGCCAGACATTAAAAAATTTGACTGGATCACGTGGATTCCAAAATTTATCAACAATCTTCTAAACCAGCTGAGTGTAAACTGCAAAAGATTATAAATGTAGAATATACATACGCCTTTAAAAGGGATAGTAATGGAGACCAGTTTCAAAATATGCCCCACAAGTCTCTGCGTCATCAAATTCTGGGAAGTCACGGAAACAATGTGAATTGATGATTGAAGTACAGACGACTCAACAATAGGTGTTTCAAAAACAGCGAAAAATTTTAGAGAAAATGTGTTTTTTGTTTATTTTTCAGCAAAGGCAATGCAAATACAACCGATAAGTCTTTGGGAGTAATATTGATTGTTTGGTAAAAGTCCAAAAAGTAAAAGAGTGTTAAAAGTTTTATAGTGGTGTAGACGATATTGATAATGGTAACGTTGGTAGTGGAAAATGCATAGCAAAAAATCAATACCAAAACTTTACTGAAAATGCTAAACGAGAGATTGGAAAAATATGGTTGAAATTTATAGAAAATTCTCTTAGGTCACTGTCATCAACGGTAGCATGATCTTACGTAGAAGAATCAGTTGAAGACAAATAAAAGGAAAAAAGATGCTCTTGTTAAACTTCGACGTGAAGTACCATTTTTTTGAGTCGAAACGATCCTGAAACTGCTATGTGTGTCGTTCTTACGCTTCTAATGGATTATTTCTCCGGCCAAAACAAAAAACTCTAATTTATATTCTTCTATTTAACAATTTCAGATGTTTTGTTGGGAGCGAGGAAATATTTTACTAAAATTTAACAGTGTGCAAGCTGACTATCAATTCAGTTTTTCTGTAAATTGACTTGAATATAATTTTTCGATTCTGACACTTACGTCCTCCAATAACCTAGTGTTCGTCTGATAAACGGTAAAAGCTGCCCCTATACTGTGATGAGCCACCACAATAGAGATGATGAATATCCTGAAACCTTGAAAACACTTCAGCTTGTTATAGTCCGCATTCCTTATTGGTTTTCTTAGGGATTCCCAATTGCTGAGGACTGACAGAACTGTGACGAATTCTAAAAATATAAAAATTCTGAGTATTGCTCTCAATGTACATCCACTAAGGTCGGCGAGGTACGATATTAGAGAAAATATAGGCCCTAGAGCTTCCGGACAAAAAAATATTCAATAAGTCGACCAAGAGAAATCGCTGGAAATAGTTTTCAATCTACATACCAAAACATAGAGTTGAATTTTTCTCAGAAATGTTTCCTATTCAGGTATATTAAATAGTGCAAATATGGATAGCCGCATTTATTTCGCATAGCTTTTGTTATTGTCATTTTGTTCTATCTCCCGAGAGAAAGGGTGGGGGAAGCCCCTAATGTCTGAGAAAAATGCAAGGGAATCTTAGACATGGTTAGATACTTTTCCAATCTTAAAAGTAGTGACATCTGTTCCACAATCAGCTTAGAATATAGCTCCTGATCCGCGAAATGAATTACCACTTTCTATATTTTCTACACGTGTCAAAATAAAAAATGGCGACCGACGTTAACAAGCAAGAGTTGACTTTAAAATATCTCTTCAAGTTAATTTTTCGTTAAAAAACTGCAACTGTTGGACAACCTATACCGTACCTATATCGTATGTCGATAGTGACATGCCACATTTATCGCACTCGCGCAACCGTGCGTGCTCCAAACAATTCGTTTATAATGGTTTATTTCACTCATTTCGATATAATGTACTATTGAAACCTTATTTAGAAATTTGAATACAATTTACGTACTTTGTTTTGGCAAATCCCCTCCCTGGTTGTTCCTTCTTGATAACATATCAACCACTGTTGCGAAAATTACAAGTGCTGAGTAACCCGCAAGTAACAACCTAGAAAAAATGTTTTAATATATACTCATTTCACAGATTTCACTATATTTGGAAACATCGTGGTGGAATGGTATTTTTTGGAAGTCTTTTTTTTTGGTTTATGTTTTTGAATGAAAGAAATTAGCACCCCTTGGTTTTATTTATCTCACAACTTTTTTCTACGTTAGTCAATTCCAACGAGAAAATTAACTTTTAATACTATATTTCATTTAGAAACTTTGTTTACTCTTCCCATTTTTTCGTATACTCAATGGTTTACGAGCAAAAATATAAATTATTTTTTCTTGCCGATTAGGTACCTACGCATAATTAGTATAACAGTTACTTACCAAAAACGATTATCATTTTTGACACGCTTTTTTATGAATAGGATATAATAAAAAAAATAAAAGCTATTTTTTTTGGGCCATTTTGAGATTTGTATATTTCATTATGAAACACCTTATATATTAAATAATTTTCTTGACGTATGATGTGTCAAACTCATATAGATGATCACCTTCCATGTGAACAGCGGTTCTTAAAATGTATATTGTAAATTAAATAAAAATGTATATACTCATAAATACTTATAACTTATAACTATACTACTTGTCATATTGAAAAGTTATATTAAGAAGTTTCATTTTACTTACAAGGTGAAATAAGCTTTTAATGGCAGCCCCTGCATGTTCTCTTTGCATTTGATATTCTTTACACTGGTGCGAAAAGATATATTTTGCAGATGTCTGTTCTCTAGTTCCGTGATATGTGCCGCTAGCCTTTCTTGGTCAGAAAAGTACTCCTTGGGAATGCATTTGGCACGATATATGACATCCCGTTTTATATACCGCTTTTCTTTTTTAGCGCCCTACAACAAAAAAATAAGAACAAGCAGCACTTAGTTTTTTTTTTAAGAATTTCAGATAAATACCTATACAGGGTGTGCCATTTAACACTCCCGCTGCCAATATCTCCGAAATGAAGAAATTATTTTAGTTTAGGAAATTGGGATTGTTAGGTCCCTCGAATAGCTTCAAATTGGAGTTAGAATTGTTAGTTCAAATCTTTCTGTATAGATGGCGTGGCGATACTAAAAAATGTTTTAATCCCTGGAACGTGGAAATACAGTCCATCCGAAAGATCGTTAAATTTTGAGTAATTTTGGTAATATAAAGTTTTTCCCTATATTTACTTGTTTTACTATATATATAGGGAAAAACTTTATATTACAAAAAGTACTCAAAATTTAACGATCTTTCCACATTCTAGGGAACAAAAAATTTTTTAGTATCGCCACGCCATCTATACAGAAAGATTTGAACTAACAATTCTAACTCCAATTTGAAGCTATTCGAGGGATCTAACAACCCCAATTTCCGAAACTAAAATAAATTTCTTAATTTCGGAGATATTGGCAGTGGGAGTGTTAGGTAAATGGCACACCCTGTATATTCATAATCGTAGATTTATATGGAATCATAATTTATCGTAACACTTGACAACATTTTAATTTAATCAAACACCCTGTAGTTTTCAAAATATTAATTTAGAATATACAGTGCTATTTTTTTAAAACCTGACATAGTCCAAGTTTTTTATTTAAAGTGATAATAATAATAACATAATAATAATTAGTACTTCCAAATGCAAATTTGTAAGAAATAACTAGATTAAGATAAATTTACAAATAATTATTTCAGGTGTTGCCAGATTTCTGCAGTAGCCACAAAAACGAAATTTTTTCAATAGCAACACCGTATTTTTTTAACATAATTGAATTAAAACGTTACTTTTATATACATTCAAATACAACAGTTTTCAAATAACACAATGACCATACAATAATGACAGCTCCTTTCAAACAACACAATTTTTGTTTAATATCCAAGGCCTACTATTAATATTTTAGCTTCTTTTAGTTCCTGCCGGCTGCAGATTAGTTTCGTTGTTTTTGCTGATTGTTCGAAAACGGCTACTCCAATAAGGAAATGTGACTAATATTTTTTATTCAGAATTTGAATGTTTGTCAAATTATGTCAAAAAAAAACACAGTGTTGCCATTCCATTAAAAAATATATCGTTTTTGTAGCTACAGCAGAAATCTGGCAACACCGGTAAGAATTGTTTGTAAATTTTTCTTAATCAAGTTATTTCCTTCACTTCAAATAAAAAAGTTGGCCAATGTCGGGTTTTAAAAAAATAGAACATATAAGAAATATATTTAGCAATTACCCACATTTTAATAATCGCTTTTATTCAAACCGTTTTAATTTATACGAACCTCAATGACCTGCCACAGTTTGTTATTTCTGTCAGTCGGCGCTAGAACCAGTTTAATTTTGCAATATTCGTTACTTTCTCTGTTACATCCAATATAGTCGTCCATATCGTACAATTGAGGGAGCAATTTGTAATCATCGTCTAGAATGGAGAAATTTAATAATAATAATAATAATAATAATAATAATAATAATAATAATAATAATAATCATAATCGCCTTTATTGAAAAAGAAGCAAAAAACATTGCATACAATACATTGAAGAAAAAATAAAACCGTACACTCATGGAGAAGTCTAGTTAAAAGCTATTTCACTTAACCACGAATGAACGGTAACAGATATCTAGAACCAAGTACATAAGAACAAAATATAGTGCATAAAAGTACTAACTAAGGGAGGATATAATTTGCAAAGCGAACATAATACAATTACAGAAAAAAGCAAAAAAAATACAATTTTTTCTTTTAATTCTTTATTTACTGAGCAGGAAAGCTTTGAATTTCCTCTTAAATTTCAACGAATTTAAATGTAGGAGTTCTTCCGGAAATGAATTTAATAGCTTAACAGAATTGTATGTAATAGAGCGACGAAAGAGAGCAGTGTGTTAGTTTAAACTTATGACGAATATTGACTCCATGTATATTAGTAAGTGGAATAAGTTTATTTGTCAGTGGTAAAGGAGAATTCTTTTCTTTTGTTAAACGGATAAGAAAATTGCCAAAATGATGCAATCTACGATCCTCCATCTTAAGCCACTTAAGCTCACGAAAAGTATGAGAAATATGATCGTACTCCCTTAAGTTAAAAATGAAACGAGCACAACAATTCTGCACAAATTGAATTCTATTTCTGCTAACACTATCCAAAGAAAAACTGTACAATAAATCACAGTAATTAAAATGAGATAAAACAAGTGATTCACAAAGAGATTTCTTTAATGAGTAATTGAAAATATGTCGATTAGAGTATAGAAGTTTTAAAGATATAAAAGACTTTTGCAATATTTTCTGTACATAGTATCTAAAGCGGAAGTCAGAATCTAATCTAATACCAAAATTTTTAGTAGAGTAAACATAGGGCAAGCGCACATTATCAATGGCTATAATAAAATTTTCTTTAAGAATATTAATATGACTTCTGCTGCTAAAAAGCATTAATTGTGATTTATATGGATTTAATTTCAAATTGCGATCTGCTAACATGTGTAAATCACGGTTAATTGTTTCCAAAGCATGTACAAAGTCCTTTCGCTCAAAGTCTAAATAAATTCGAGTGTCATCAGCGAATGCTTGAATCTTACAGTTCACAATAGACTTAAGGATATCTGATGTGTAAATTAAAAACAACAGTGAACCAAGGACGGACCCACAAGTACACCAGAATTAATATTTATGTCAGTTGATATTATCACTCAGAAATCTTTGTGAACGATTAAATAGGTATGATTTCATCATTTTAAGTGACAATTTGTCAAAGCCAAAGTATTTCAATTTAGAACAAATTAACTCGTGATTGATAGCCTTCGAGAAATCCAGCAAAACCAGCTCACAGTCTCTGCCACAGTCACGACCTTGATAATATCGTCAGTAACTTTAGCCAGTGCTACAGAGGTACCAAATCCCTTCCTATCCGCACTGACAATCAGGTAAAATTTTATCAGTATTAACATAACTGTACATTTGCCGATATAGAATTTTTTCAAATATTTTTGAAACTACAGGAAGAATACTTATAATTCTTAAATCTGAACAAGTGGAGGGATTAAGAATCTTGGGAAGAGGAATACCTATAGAAACTTTACACGATTTAATCCTGTTTATTTTAAAAATATAAAGTAAAAAGTACTTACCTGAAATTGTGATTGACGCGTGCAATTTTAAAGTTAATAACATACAGAATAGTCCCAAACCCATAGGGAACATTGTGTAAAAACGGTGTCTACCACTGGACTGATATGGACGCGAGAACCATTTGATAGAATAATATCTAATTATATAATCACTGGTTACGTAAGAAGCCACTTGTAAATTATGAATTGTATTTAAATATTAACGATATCTAGATTTCATGTCAAAATTATTAGGTTGTGTCTGATAACACTGCGAATCCTATGTTCTGTTAATATTCCTCGTTTCAAAGAGTTGTAGAGGATTCAAACCAGAGTACCTCAATAAACGCAAGCTTTAATTACCTACATGCGATAAACCACCTTTGTACATTTTTAAAAAGTAATAGTTATTTACGTGCCAAAATCCCAAAATCAATGTCGTACTGTAAAAACTGCAAAACGTCGACATTTCTGGTAACAGTCAACTGTAATACATACCTACTTTATTTTTAATGCAATTTTTAACGTAAGATCTCGGTACAGTTACTTTACAGCAAGATACACTTTCCGTACTAAAACTTCATCAGATATAGTTGATTAGCTTGACGTAGATTAGATATTAGTAAAAATCGATCGAAAATAATATATACAATGAAAATATAAGGTTGCGCCAAGAAAAAAAGTTGTGCTATTTGCAGAAAAAAATGAAAAACTGCAAAAATACTCAAAAATGACGTGTTTTTTCTAACATTTTCCAACATAACTTCTTAAATATGCAGTTTACAGAAAAAACTATTACTGATGAAATTGTTTGTTATGAAATTTGCTACAAGATAGAATTGTTTTGATACCTGCACATATCATATTTTTGTTGCTAAATAGTCAAAACAACGTAAGAAAGTGATGAAAATCGAGGTAATTTGGAAGCGTCAAACTGACAGGCAAGAAACTGTCCAATTCTACTATAAATGTAGATGTAAGTACTTTAAACGATTATAAAACGAAATTCCAAAACCCGACCCAAATCGGTCTGATAGTATTGGTATGAGACAATTTGTTACTAAATTTCAGCGCGAAATGTCGTTATTTTTTTACGTGAATGCTGGGGTTAAAATTAGTCATTTTAATTGACGCCGATTTTTTTACACATACTTGGACCCCTTAACAATCATATAGAATCGTTAGAATATCAATTTTCTTTTTTTGAATAATTTTTGGAGCGAATTTAAAAGTTAGAAAAATTTTGACTTTATAAACAATTTCTTTCGTGAAGCGGTTTTGCGGGTTGGAAAATATACCAAAGTAATAAAAAACATTTCTCGGAAAGACGCTTAACTTGAAAAAAAGAACGTTCAAATCGGTCCTATAAGTTCCGAGATATAGAGTGTCAAAGTCAACAAGCGCTTGCTGCAAAACTATGTATAATGTAACAACAATTAAAATTTAATTTGGTAGGTTTTTTCAAGAACTTTCCGTATGTGTTTTTATAAATATGATCGCACGTGTGCTTTTTTAGGAAAATTCAATGAATATCGCCAAGCCGACCATTTGTGCCGCAAAACCGAGGGTAGGGGAGGGGATGAATGATAGAAATTCAAATCGCGCGTTCAAAAAAAACATTGTTGTTTTCAGTTATAATATCATCATTTGAATAAGTATCGTTTTCCATTATTTTCAAATCAGTGTTTAACTAATTGTAAGTAGGTACCACTGTCAGATTAACAGCAAATGATGACTTATGGTTGGTTATGGTTGGTTAATTTGATTTTTTAAATTTGCTAGCAATTTCATAATCATCCTCGCAAGAAATTGGATCATTTTATTTATCACAAAAATCGTCAAAACAGAAAAATTAAAAGATATGGAGATGTAATATGGATACATATAGAGTAAATTTTTACAACAGATTTTGATTAAATATACAGGATGTCTAATTTAGAAAAACCAAATTTTGGCAGTTCGGTCAATCAAATGCGACAATAAATATGAAATGGAAATAGGTCGAAGACCATTAGATCATTAGAGATGAATATAGGGAAGCTTTATAAAATTCCCCTAAAATTACGCGTAGAATAAGCAAATAGGTGACGACTACCAGTATAACCGGAAGTACTACAACAATGGCATTATTTTATTTAAACTTTTTTTAAATAAAATCTCCAAAACCACCAGGTCTCAAATTTTCAAAATTCAAATCGAAGTAGTCTCCGAAATTTCTAATGGGCCGTCACCGCATGACAGCTTGTAGAAAAAAAATTTGAGAGCCAAAAAACAGCTACTATGCTGTAAAAAAGCGGAATACTTTAATAATGCGATGATACGTTTTATAAATATCAAATAAATAAAGTACATATTAAATAAAAATTTCAAGGTTTTAAACATTATTATGAATTATTAAAACTAATAACTATTAACAATGGACTATGTATATCTACCATCGATATCATTATTTACATGAATATACAGCAACAATGAAATGTGTGAAATTTTAAGTAGGTAGTCGTAATAGACTGATAAGGCTTTATAATATTTTTATGAAATCTTGATAATTGAATTCTTCTAATTATGATATATTGATTTAAAAAAATCATCAAAATCGGAGCCGTAGAGCCGAGATATTGAACGCCGAAGAGGGCTCGCTCTTTTTGAAAAATTCTTAAAAAACCTACCAAATTCATATTTTGTTGCTGTTACATTATGCATAGTTTTGCAGCTAACGCTTGTTGACTTTGACACTCGATATCTCGGAACTTTTAGGACCGATTTGAACGTTCTTTTTTTCAAGTTAAGCGTCTTTCCGAGAACTGTTTTTTAGTACTTTGGTATATTTTCCAACCCGCAAAACCGCTTCACGAAAGTAATTGTTTATAAAGTCAAAATTTTTCTAACTTTTAAATTCGCTCCAAAAATTATTCAAAAAAAGAAAATTGATATTCTAACGATTCTATATGATTGTTAAGGGATCCAAGTAAGTGTAAAAAAATCAGCGCAGATTAAAATGCCTAACTTTAACCCCAGCACTCACGTAAAAAAATAACGACATTTCGCGCTGAAATTTAGTAACAAATTGTCTCATACCAATACTATCAGACCGATTTGGATCGGGTCTTGGAATTTCGTTTTATAATCGTTTAAAGTACTTACATCTACATTTATAGTAGAATTGGACAATTTCTTGCCTGTCAGTTTGACACTTCCAAATTACCTCGATTTTCATCACTTTCTTACGTTGTTTTGGCTATTTAGCAACAAAAATATGATATGCGCAGGTATCAAAACAATTCTATCTTGTAGCAAATTTCATAACAAACAATTTCACCAGTAATAGTTTTTTCTGTAAACTGCATATTTAAGAAGTTATGTTGGAAAATGTTAGAAAAAACACGTCATTTTTGAGTATTTTTGCAGTTTTTAATTTTTTCTGCAAATAGCACAACTTTTTTTCTTGGCGCAACCTTATATTTTCATTGTATATATTATTTTCGACCGATTTTTACTAATATCCAAGTTACGTCAAGCAACAGCCATGTCAATGTGTAATTCTCCTGGACTAATATAGATATTTTCTAGAGCGGCAGCTCAAAACTATTTTACAAGTGTCAATTATATTAGACAGGCCCGGATCAGTAAACTGTAAGCCCTCATACATAATTACTCCACGTAGAATGATAAAGCTAAAAAATTACATTATTTCGAACGCGTTTTCGAACGAGCGATTTCGGGAATCGTCGTTCTGACGCTATGCTACAATGCGATACATGCAATTTTCTTTTTTATCGGAGTCATCAGTTTTTATGATAAAACAATTACATAAATATTTGTCCGATAAAAATCATGCCGCGTTCCCATTTGTCCACCATCCCCAAAATGTCAAAATGGCGTTATTATGTATGCTTATACATACAGCTTTCATTTTGCGTAAATTGCTTAAATAATTTGTGAGACAACTGTGCTCAACTTGTCCGACAAAAATCAAACAGCGTTCGCGTATCCCACGTCCCAAAATTGTCAAAATGACGAGGTTATGTTTCCTCATATACAGGTGGACCTATTCATTGGCCTGCCCGAACTCCAGATATGAACCCACTTGACTTTTTCTTTTGGGGGCACTTGAAAAATCTTGTTTATTCCACACCTGTAACCAATAGAGAAGAATTAGAAGAAAGGATTTTTTATTGTGCAAATGAAATACAACAAAATCCTGAAATGTTATGGAGAGTGCAACAGTCTTCTGTTAAACGAGCTCGTATTTGTATAAGAGAAGGTGGAACTAATATTGAGAATTTATTATGAATTATATTTTATTACAAAATTTTGATTGTCATGCACTTTTCGTTTAGTTAGTTTAGTTAAGTCCAAATTCTCATAATTTGGAACACTGCTATTGCAAATTATTTGTCCTTTATTCTGATATGTAAAAGCCAACTACGATTAAACCTGTGTTTCTGTTAAATAAAATGTCTCAAATTAAATGGTACCTTCCTCTTTAAACGGGTTTATCTCAAAAAATATCTATTTTATGGATATTCAACAAGTATACCTTTTTTACGTAAAATACCATAAATTTTTATAAAATGATGGAAAATTTGGGGTATAGTGGAACAAAAATTTTTTTTCTAGAAATTTTGGTGGGGGGTGCTTTGCCCCCGGGCCCCCATAATTATTATCGAGGATTTCATATTATCATCCAAAGCAGCTTCAAAAATTATAGATCCAGCCAAAAAATTTTCAAAATTTATTGAAAAATACAAAAGTTACAGCAAAAAAAAACATTTTTAATTCTCAACTTCAAGAGCTAATAACCTAACGGAGGAAAAAATTTTATATGAACTTGTGACATTATTTTCTCATTATCTAACCATATCCGAGAGATTGCCTACCATTTCCGGGACACCCTGTATAGGGTGTTCCATTTAAAATAAGCAAGTTGATGGCGACTTCCGGTATAACCGGAAGTGGTATGTAGACGCCATTATTTTAGTTGAGAAGGGCATTCCCGAAAATCCGGTATCCCAAATTTTCAAAATTCAAATCGAAGTAGTCTCTGAAATAATTCTAATGGGCCGTCACCGTGAGACACCCTGTATATATCGTTTATAGCCTGCCTTTGATGCATTTGTGTGAGGTATATGAGTTTTGAGCGTTCTGTTGATCGATTCGAATCATTGGTAAATTCTGAAATTCGCTCGTTTTATATTCTACGACAGTAGCTAGTAGCTTATAAAGTTAGCGGCTGACAATGCATTGAATTAAAATTAATCGATCGACGGTTGACAAACATTTAAGGTTTTCGTGATTTCGATGGCAGTTCTGTGAGATTTTTGTGTATTGGAAACGATTGAAGCTCATAAAAAGCTTTTTTTACAACTAATAAATTACCGGTGTGTAGTGCAAAGCATGTGACACCTTAAATCATAGATAAATTGGAGGAAGCACGCTCGCGACGACAATGTAGACCAGTGACAGAGAGAAAAAGAGGGAGAGACAGTTTGGGTACCATCTTTCTCTCTTGTTAAACTTTTTTCCTCAACGATTAGAGAGAGAAAGAGAAAGCGATTACCCAAACTATCGCCCTTTATCTTCATATTGCCATTATTGCCAATAAGTAAAAACAGTTTCCATGTTCGACCATTAAAATAATATAGGTAACTATAAAATGTATACAGTTTATTACTACATTTCTTTACATTATTGGTAAGAAAGTCATATAAAAGTACAAGGTTCTATTTCCAACAAAAAAGTTTAATTTGTTTTTTGTTTGGGTGCCCATTTAGAAATTATGACATTTTTAATATCTAACAGAGGCCTTTCAATAATTAAATGTAATATCAGTCCCAATACGGTTGCTAGAAGAATATTAGACAAGAAAATTTGCACCTGAAACAAAATATAAATATACTACTGATTACTAATAATAAAAATAATTATGAAAATAAATACTCCTATTTTATTAACTACTTACTAAAAAGAAATAGGATATTTCTAGCATATACGTCCATGTAGAGGTATTGTAAAATATAATTAGAATATGGAATAAATAAATCGAAAAATTCCATCTTGATATAAATTCTAGAGGGCTGGCTTCAAACAGCCTTTTCACAAATCCTAAAATAGAAAATACTTTTCAATTTTTAAGTAAAAGTCAGCTATGCCCAATCAGCCATAACAACCAATACTGTTAAATGGGGTGAATAGACAGAAATTTTCGTAATTTCGCAACGAGGGGAGGTTCCTGTTGTCAGATTAAACCGATCCAACAGCCAACAAGACACCTTAATGCAAAAGTTAATATACCTAACAGATATACAGAGAGTCAAGAAAAAACATATTTTTTAGGTTTACGAGAGTCTACGCAGAATTTAAATTTATTTATTTTATAAAAATTGTTTGTATCATCGGAACCTCTATGAGATCTGGTTTTTATGATTTTGTGGGCATAATAATGGCAACGATGGACTTCTTTTTCATCCTACACACAGCAACGATATTTCAAATCCTGCTACCTCAAGATGTGCAGATGATAACACTGTCCCGAAAAGGGATTTTGTGACATGGATAATGATCCATCCTACGGTATTCCGAGGTATAACCTTCAAAAAACAAGAATTGACCTTGAAATAACCTTGAACATCATCTTCAACGTCAAATTCAATGTCACCAGATGGTGGCCCTATTAACAATTTTCCTGATATCTCGCTGTCCTAACGAGATACCAACCTGTGATGTTAGAGAAGAAGATTTGACCTTGAAAAGATCTCGAAAATGAAAAAAATAACTTATCGGACATCTCTGAACGTAAAATTTCATGCTCTTTCAGAATCCGGAGTCAGAAATTGTAATATCATCAAAAAACAAGAGTTGACCTTCAAATAACCTTGAGCATGACCTTAAAAAATAAATCAACGGCGCTTCCGAACGTAGAATTTCTTGCCTTTTCAGAATCCTGGGACAAAACCAATTTAAATACAAGAGTTGACCTTGGAATAACCTTGAATATGACTAACTTCGTCAAACGGTCACTTGATTCGGATTTAGCGACCCCAGGTATGAATATGGTAGTCTAGTCTACCACACATTGACGACACTCATACTCAAAGCATGTCTACTAATATAGTTATTACCCAACTCTGAAAGTTAAATAGTATTTCTGCTGGCCTCATTTTTACGATATACGTGTTTTGATAAAAAATTAACGAGAATTGTTAATTTTCCTTAATTTTTATCACATCATTTTGAGAAACACTGGCGGAACGCCATTTCGGGTATCGTCTTGAGCCGCTACCAATACACAAAAAATGAATCAACTCGATAGACAAGATACAGCACGTGCAATGTGAATATTCCCGTTACTGTGTTATCAAACCTCTTATCTGTCTCTGGACTGTGAAAGAAGAAACTTACCGCCAATGTTATGCGATATTCCTAGCATACCAATGCCTATACCCAACGCAAACAAAGGTTTTACTAAAGATCCAATGACTGCCGCAACCAGAGGCTCGTAATCGTAAAAACACAAAGCTGATGCTAAAGCTGGAAGACCACAAAATCCTACGGTCCACATGACTGTAATGGTCTGAAATAATGAAAACTGTTAAGGCGGGTATCTATTTGTGTCAAATGCCCCGTAACGTAACACCGAACATGTTACGTTACAGCTAGTGGAGACGGAAAATTGTTGCATGGTACGTGTATCAAATTTGACACGCGTAACTAATCCGGGACGAACCATGAGTTGTCGGTTTTTAGTCGTCGCATCAAAAGGATGCAACAGTACTTTCTGCCACATGTTGAGACGGTGTTTTTGTTTCGTCAGTCTTTTGTTCATGGTCTGGGGTCAGTATGTTTTTCTGTGTTTGTGCCATGGAGTGGAGTAAAGAAAAGATTTCCGGAGATTTCCGTTTCTTGTTCTTCAAAATTGTATGATGAATAAAAATATATGACGCTGCTACTAACTGCAATTGCAGGGACGAATCCATTATTGCAGTCAGGTTCATACTGCGAGTTTATGTTCCTGTGTCGTTTCGTAACCTTATTTTGTTACGTTACGGAATGAATGATACGACCAAAACCGCACATACTTTCGCAGCGAACCGTGTCACCTTCTGCAACAGGCCGTAACATGTTCGTTGTTACGTTACGGAGCATTGCCACAAGTGGATACCCGCCTTTAGGGATTTACATTTATGGTACGTTCTGTAACATGTTACAGCGTTTGTAAACGATGGCCTTCAATTTTCACAATTGTTTTTTAGTAAATGATCAATAACAACAGACGTATTAGATAATCAGATTTGTTTAAAATGTCACAGAAAAGCAGACATAAATAATTCTGTAAACATTACACTTATACAGAGTCGATGATATTTATTGAGACGGTCGATTATCTCAAGTGAGATAGCTATCGAAAGATCATAAGACGCAAACCTTTTAGGTTTTTTTTTTAAATCTATTACAATAAAGAAAAATTAATTATACCTATAGGATCAGTCAAAAAGCCACGACGAAACAAAGTTGCTTTTTCTTTAATATAACACCCTGTATATTATTCCATATTTCAATTCTTCTCGAAATTCTAAACAAAATTAATATAGGTATGGATATTAGTTTTGAAAATAACACACGACGGAGGATATGGACATGATTTAATTTTATTATTAGTGTTTTTACAAGAAATAAAAAAGCATAATACTTCAGGGTTGATAAAAATGTATGAAACGAAAAAATTTATTTTTTAATGAATGTCCTGGATATTTTAAATTTTATGAAAACAATAGTTATGTCAGAATAAATAATGAGAGAAAACAAGTTTTAATAAACAACAAATATTTTCCTTGGAATTCTATTTTATAAGGTGCCCAAAGTTTTCACCATTTACCTTCTGACAGTAACGAATTGGCTGATCAAAATTTTGTAGTGAATCTAAAAGGATGTTGGGAGGAATAGTGGAAATTTCATGCCTTATCCTTTCCTACATCTCTTCCAGGCCTATTTTTGTAGACTATATTTTTTATGTGACCCCACAGAAAAAAGTCAAGCTGGGTTGTACTTTATAAGAAAGGAGATAGTGCTTCGGTCAGTAATTGTAGGCCTATTTCTCTTATTACTCATATTTCTAAAGTGTTTGAAAGACTCATAAAGAAAAGATTAATTTCCTTTCTCAACAAATACCGAATACTCTCCGCAAATCAGTTCGGTTTTAAAGAAAAAACGTCCGCTCAAGAAGCCATTCTGGCCTTAATAAGTCCAATCTACAGTGCACTGGAAAAGACTAAACCTTACCTCTGCATACACTACTGCAACTTACTCCTGCAGCCACTTGAAAACATAGGCATTCGAGGAAGTTGTCTAAACCTGTTTGAAAATTATTTGTCTAATCGATATCAGGTTGTAAGAGTGGGTGACGACATCAGTGATCGCAAATTAGTGAATTGGGGTATCCCACAAGGTACGGTTTTGGGACCCATACTGTTTAATATCTATACCTATAAACGGCTTATTTTCATTGAATAGTAAGGGAACGATAATAGGATTTGCAGACGACACAACAATTTTTTATGAAGATACAGATTGAGCTACACTAAAACAAAATGTCGAATCTGATTTTCAGATAATAAAAAACTGGTTAAACAATGGTATGTATGACGTTTTTTGAAAGCTAAATGTAGCTGTAACACAAATTGTCTTCCTCCTTTTGATCAACTGAATATTATCTTACGAGGTCAGCAGATCCCCATATATCCTGTGAATGAAATTAAATAGCTAGGAGTTTATATTGATACCTTAAATGGGATTTTCATATCAATTATAATATAATTAGAAAGTTACAGTCCATCATATATAAATTTAAATGCCTAAAAAACTACCTACCTATTAAATATCTGAATATTATGCCTTAGCTGAAAGCCATATTCGATATGGCATTCTCGCTTGTGGTTCTGCGCGAAGGGATCATATCAACCCGCTTGAAATCCTCCAAAAAAAGATTTTTGAAGATAATATTTGAAAAAAAATATGATTACTCTTTCAGACTTGCTATACGCTGAGAGTAGGATTATGGACATTCGGCAGATTTATTTATATATTTATATAAAATATGCATATTTATTGTGCAGTATTAAAATATCACACTAATACGAGTAAGGCATTAGTTCCTAGTCACAACTACTTTACTCGTAATAAAGACCATCATATCGCACCTTTAGTAATTAAATCCTTCTCCCAACTCTCCTATACTGTTATGGCTCCAAAGTTATTTAATTCATTATCTGTAAGACTGAAACATGAAACTGAAACATATATTTAAAAACTGCAAAACAATCGTCTTGAAATTTATTAAATGTTTCACAGCAATAGTTGTTTACATGTTTCCGCAGGATAAGTCTGCCGCGTGCACACGTGGTATGCATCAGCTGTGTAGCGTTAGGTTAAGCGCTGTTGTCACGTTGTGATGAAACTCCCCAATATTAATACTCGCTGTATTTTGAAAACTGTTAATCTTACGCCTCTGTAATATAAAATTTTGTTCATCTATAATTACTCTATCTCATGCTGAAGTAATTGCAGTCAAACTTTTTACACCCTGTGGAGCTGGAAAATTTCAAAGCTAACTTGATGGACTATAAACTTAATGGACTAAAATATTGTATGTACAGGGTGGCCAAATGAAAACGAAACAGAGCCAGTTTCAGAAACTGCGTCAAGATTGTAGAAAAACGCTCAGATCTGTCGATTTCAGATTAAAGGGGGACATTCTTTGCGTGTATTTTTGACTCCGTCACTTTCACCCCTAAGCAAGGGTAAGCATCACCCCAAAATATTTAAATGGCATTGGGGGTTGAGTAATGTTTCTTTTGAAAACTATTACAATTCACTTTACAACAGACTTTAAATTTTATAATTCCGCTCAATACTTATTAAGAATTTTGATTTTAAAGTTAATACTTATGTACAATTAGTAACGGTAAAAATGTCAGTCATTGGAGTTAAGTACGCCAACGGTATAAATTTAGTATTTCTTGCGTTACATTGGTTTTTGGCGATTTGTTATCATTTTCGTAAAAAAAAAACACAATTGACTGATATTATTGAAAAAGATGAAAATCATTTGATTTTTCAGCAGGACGGTGCTCCTCCGCATTATGCGTTAATTGTCCTCAGTATTTGGACCAACGATTTCTACGGAATTGGATTGGGAGAAGAGGTAGCATTGAGTGGCCTCTACGATCACCGGATTTATCGCCCCTTGATTTCTTTTTGTGGGGATACCTAAAAAGTAAAATCTATAAAACACATTTAGTGTCGCTGGAAGATATGCGTCAAAGAATCATCGACGAATGCCGTCGAATCACTCCGGAAATGCTTCAGAATGTGCGCGAACGTTTCGAATAAAATCTTTATTCTTGTATGGAAGTGGGCGGTCATCAGTTTGAACATTTAATCATCTAACTAGTAAGTAAGCAACTAAACATAATTTCAATTTTAAAATGTAATTTTTTTTCAAAAAATTGTGCGGAATTATAAAATTTAAAGTCTGTTGTAAAGAGAATTGCAAGAGCTTTCAAAAGAAATATTACTCAACCCCCAATGCCATTTAAATATTTTGAGGTGATGCTTACCCTTGCTTGGGGGTGAAAGTGTCGGAGTCAAAAATACCAGCAAAGAATGCCCCCCGTTAATCTAAAATCGACGGGTCTGAGCGTTTTTCTACAATCTTGACGCAGTTCCTGAAAATGGCTGTGTTTCGTTTTCATTTGGCCACCCTGTATAACAAAATGATTTCGAGATCTCGAAAACGGTAAGGTTTAGGTACACGATGTGTTATATGAATTTTATGCAGAATTTCGAGGAGAATTGAAATATGGAATAATATACATGGTGTTCCATTAAAGAAAAGGCAAATTTGTTTCGTCATGACGATCCAGTATACTTAATTTTTATTGTTATGGATTTTTAAAAACCCTAAAACGTTTGTGTCTTATGATTTTTCGATAGCTATCTTACTTTAGGACACAATGACCGTTTCCATACATATCAGCGACCCTGTATCTTGTGACATTTTCTGAATCACTTTAAATTTATATCACTGTAAGAAAATTACAGAATAGCACCATTAGTAATTTTTAAAGCCTTTTTAATTTTTTGCCAGTACCACCACCAAACTTATATTTTCTTTTTGTATTTAACATAGTTGGTTGTATGTTGTATTACCTTGGTCACTTCTATATTTGTGTCCTTGTATCGGTGATATACAGCTCCAAAGAGTATACCTACGATATAACTACTAAAATTTTGAAAAAATGACGTGTGGAGATAGTAACCATAGTCGTCCTTCAAAATATTCTCAAGTTTAAGATACCTAAAATGCACAAATAAAATTGCGAATAATAATGAGGAAATGCGGGGTGATTCACAACTTCTAAAAAAAAAAATAAAAATGGGTCGTATAATGGACCCATATAACATACTACTACTCGTACTATCACAGTAGTACCACAGCATATCGCACCTTCAATTCTATACCGCCAAAACTCGAAAAATATCAGTTCTGAATTATAATTGTAATTATACAGAGTGCTTCACCAACGGTGACCAAAAATGAAACTTCGTATTCTTAGGTGAAAAAGATACAGGGTGTTAAACTTAAAAAATATTTTTAATTTTTTAAAATAATTTAAAAACTAGTCACTGAAATAATTTGAAACTGGGCACATCGGAGATACAGGGTATCGGTGGCATATTTTTCTAAATAAAATAGTACGCCACTAATCATTTGGTTATTTAATAGAATAAAGAAATGAATAATATTAGTAATCATTTTAATGATCATGATAATGATTTAAAGAAATCCAGTGGGTTTAGATTCGGTGTTTTCAGTTTGTTTTTTAAGTTTTACTCGAAGATCAGGAATTTTTCGAAAAACATAAGAGAGTAGTAATTTCTAGAAAATTGAAAGACAAATCCGAAAATATCATGGTTGTTACCGTAAAGCAGTGGCGTACTATTATATTTAGAAAAATATGCCACCGATACCTTGTATCCCCGCTACGGAAGCATCTAAATTTTAGAAAAAGGCCTCAGATTTTGGATAATCCTTACATGTGCCCAATTTCAAATTATTTCAATTACTAGTTTTTAAATTATTTAAAAAAGTTTTAAATATTTTTTTTTAAGTTTAACACCCTGTACCTTTTTAACGAAGCGCCCTAGATAAAAACTTCGGCTTATTTTTCAGAAACTCTTAATGATTCAACTTACAAAATTCCAACGCAGGTTTAACTTCAAACACGTTATTTTACAAAGCTGTTGCTTTCAGCGACAAATACTAAGAGTAAACTAAGTAAACAGGTTAAAAGTTCTACAGTTTAGAAATGTAAAACAATAAAATCTCGTATATTACAATTATAAAATGCATTTGCAAGCATTAATGTCAAAAAAATGTTCGATTATATTTTTCGGATATGCTATTAGATTAGGCGGTATCTGTTTTGGTTTGGGTGAATCTTATATCCACGGAGATTTTTGGCTTGTTGGCTTACAAATATCACTAGAAATGAAAATTTTTCTATGCGCATAAAAAACGTGGGCCTTACTATTGGCGGCACAATATGTTAAAAAAATTCGAAAAATGTCATATTTTTCTTTCTATTTAATTATGTATCTTTTCAAGAATTGATTTTAGGCGAAAATGGAAGAAGAAAAAAATGTTTGTAATTAAATTTTTTACAAAATATGACTAGTTACAATAATAATCATGATTATTNTTTTAAAATGTGAAACAATTACGGCATAATTTTATTTATTTTTTGCTAATTACTAACTCAGCTCTTGTCGGTATCGCAATTATCCTTTCTAAATTATATATCGTGTAGAGATTATATAGAATGTATGTATTAATCCCTACAATACACAGGAACACAGCTCCAAAAAGTTTTATTCCAAAGTTCCATTTGTACATCAAGTAAAAGAGTGCCATGGAAACTACGTGTGCTTGAAAATCACAAGAGAGGTACCAAGACACGATGTTACACTAAAAAAAGTATTAATATGATAATCATGTATAATATATGTATAATTTGACTGAAAATGGATGAAACTACAGGAAAAGATAACCGTTGGGGTGCTCAACAAATACCCGCAATCCGGACCCCCAATTTCAAAATGGCGGCCTACTGCAAAATTATAAAGTCGAAAATGCGAGCGCGTATATCTTCTGCCCAAGTCAAGATATCGAAATTTGATAAAAAAGAATCGAAAGATTTATATTGTCTCGCGTTTGCGTAAATTTCAGATTTTTAAGTTGCAAAATAAAAAAGTTATTAACAAAAAAAAACAAAAAAAAAACGGTAACTAGGGTCCTTATCTCGACGGTCTTTTAATATACAAACTTCAAACGAACTACATCAAATAGTGCTTAAAAAAATATGAATAAAAAATAGGCCTCTATCCGACCAATAGGAGTCGAGATATTTTTTTTTCTTAAAAACGGTATTCTGGCTGTTCTATTTAATATTTTATAATAAACTTAAACGATGATTTTTCTTAATCGGTATAATCGATAATTTTCATTCAATTAAAATCAAATATTGTACTCTTGAACTAAGAAATTATTTTATTTGTCTGCATGGCTGCTGTGACTTTTTCCTATTTTCCAAACTTAAAAGGATACACAAAGGACAACGTCTTCAACAATAGATGAGATAAAGGCAAAACCGCAAACCGTGCTCAAACTGGAAACAACGTTAGTACAAGCGTATAATAAATATCACAGGGGGACTACTTTGTAGGGGATGGAGTAAAAAATTGAAGGTTAAATAATAGTCCAATTAAATGGGTCTTTAAATCGCAATTTTGGTTAACTTGCCTGAATTTTTGATATGTTTGTTTGAGGTATATAATAACAATAAGTGACAGTAATTTTTTTCAATCCCTAGCTAGGGGCGGAAAAAGATAAAATAAAGGGATTTTTCAAAATAACTCAAAAGGGGTAAGAGGTAGAAAAATATTTTCTTTATGAAAGTTATGGAGCATAAAATTCTAAATACAAAATGGTCTAATGACTTTTTCTTGTACTATTAAAATTAACAGTTAGGGAGACTAGAAGTTAAGGGATGATTTCACAAAATTGAATGAATCTTATTGTTTTCAATCTACACTAAAAAATGTAGACTACCTTTTCATAGAAATATATATATTTTTTAATTTTTAATAAAAAAGTTATAACAATTTCACAACGCGAACGTGATTTTTTATCTTTGTTGTAAAACAAAATTTCGAAAACAACTTTTCATTATTTTAAATAATCAACCGAATGGCATAGAAAAAAATTGTTTTAGTGTTAAATCACAAAAATTAACAATTAAAAAATTGAAATTTTTATAACTTTTTTTATTAAAAATAGAAAAATAGATTTATTTCTCCGGAAAGAAAGTTTACATTTTTAGGGTAGAATGAAAAAAAAAAAATTATAAAATTCATTAATTTTTCTGCTTATTATGATTTTTTAAATTTCTGAAATCATCCCTTAACTACCAGCCACCCTAAGTCTGTTAATTTTAATAGTACCAGAAAAAGTCAATGGACCATTTTTATGTGGAATTTTATGTTCTACAACTTTTGCAAGAATTTTTTTTTCTAGCTCTTACTCCTTTTGAGTCTTGAAAAACTCTTTTATTTCATATTTTTTAACCTCTGGCCGGGGGTTGAAAAAAAATTACTGCACTTATTTTTATTATATACCTCATACTAATTTATATCAAAAATTCAGGCAAGTTAACCAAATTGCGATTTAAAGGCCCATATAATACTTTCTGAGAAAATTAACAATTCCTGTTACTTTTTGATTACATCTCGTATTTCTACAACCCTGAAGAGAAATATGTTTTTAAATAAACTCCTTGTGTCAAAAGGGTATGCCAATGTGTCTCTTTTACAAACTTAATTTTGTCTAATTAAATCACAAATCTTTCAAATTGAGGAAATACATAATTATTCTCGATTATCTTTTATTTATTAAAAAAAATCTTTTCGGGGTCGCAGAAATGCCCAATTGAATAAAAACAATAGTAAAAATCGTCTGTACACTACACTTACCATGTCCTTAACATAAAAAAAGTTATTTATTAATAACAGGTTTGCCCACCAATGGGTTCGACAAGCTTCGTTATTAACGTCTAAAAGATCTGTTTGTGGTCCATGAAAAAACGGTTTAACCGAATGAGTTAGGCCGATGTAAAATATAAGAGGAAGAACAAATCTGAAAATTTAGTTGCGTTGTCAAATTGTTCCTGACAGAATTATAGAAATATGTAGGATGTTGCTAAATATTTAATGGGCGGATGATAAAATACCAAGTAATAAGAGCATTTTTTCTCCTATTCTATTTTGTTTTTGAGATACAGGGCTTCAAAGAGTTTGTTCATTTTCAAGCAAAGAAGCCACCGTTGAAGTATTCCCCATCCGTTTGCAGACACGTTCTTTGTACTCACAATCAAACATTGTAGAAGCTGGTTGACTTTGGACAAACCAGTTGCGTGTTTCTCAAGAAACGGTGCGTTTTTAGCCTAGTAAATTTTTGTGTACAATGAAATTTCACATTCTACTACAAGGCATATGATATAAGAAACCTAAGCTGAAAAAAGTTATGCCACTTGGAAAGGCAGCAGCTAGCAATCTTATTAGTGGAGTCAAGATAGATTTTGACTTCGCGAAAATTACGAGAAGAGAGAATTTTTTATTTTTCGTTTTGTAAAGTTGTCAGAAACAACATATAAAAAGTTACCAACTGTAAAGTGTACGTTAAATTATTTATTTAACAAATTAGTTGCAAAATTACAGTTTTTGCAAAATATATAAAAAAATATAACTTTCTAAAAAAAAATAACTGCGCCATTCGAAAGAACAGGAAATTTTACATAAAAAAATGTTAATAAAGTTTTTTTCTGAAATGCGAATTGAAGGCTGTAGAATTTTTTTCTAATGTACGAAAAATGAGACGGGCCACCCCCATCCCAATTATAGCTCTCGAAGAGCGCGCGACCCCCAGCGCGCTACACTAAATTTGTTATAACTTTTGATCTAATTGATCAAATCGACCTCACAAAAATTTAAATAAAAGGAGAGTATTCCGGCTATCAGAATTCTGTCTTTAAACTTGAGAAAAAATTGAGAAAAAATATATATAGGACATACGTATAAAGCTATGTCATTCTATAATTTTGTACAATAATAATAAAATAGCTGTCATTTTTTTAATTTTTAAAATAAATATCTGTAACTTTGACAGATTACTCTTCAAATGACGATTGAAACAGTGAGCGATATGGAAAAAATCTTAAAAATTTAATTTGAAAAATATTGAGCCCAACATATTCAATAATTTTAAAAATCACAAATTTGACTTTTTAGGCCATACTTTATAGATCAAAAACTATAGTTGTAAATGTGATATTGGGACTTTATGAGAGCACTTTTTAAAGCTTAAAATCTCTACTTTAAGATGGTGCATTTTATTTTTCTTAAAAAATTGAAAAATTAGTTGAAAAAACAAAAAAATATAAATATTTCATGAAAAATTCGTGAAATTTATAGTTAAATGAAGTTTAATAATGTACCAAAATTTGTTTAAAAAACCATCAAAGAATTAAGTTAAGACCTTAAAAAATAAATCCAGCGAAAAATATTTTTTTATTATAGTAATAAGTGGAAAATTGTTATAATAGCAAAAAAAATAATGTTTTTTGATGAACTGATTTAATATTCATTTTTAAAAAGTATATTCTGTATCTGAAATTGTGAATATAAGTTTGAGACCTGCTCGGTGAGTATAGCACGCACATGGTGTATACTACTACATAGAAATACAGGTTCGGAAAGTATCGATGGTCCATCTGCCGTTACGTGAGAGCGATAAAGTAAGTCATAGAAATCCATGCGATAGAGAAAGATGGCGTCTAATAGTCACCGCCCATTTCGCCCTTCCACAAATAAGAAGTGGATCTTATTTGTGGAAGGGCGAAATGGGCGGATACAGGTATG